ATGTGAAAACTGGGCCGTTATCGGCCGTGATAGTCTCAGGTATACCGAACCTGTGGACGATGTGATTCTCGAAGAACTTGACCACCTGTGCGCTAGAAATTGACCGATAGGACTCTGCCTCGACCCATTTAGTAAAATAGTCGGTCGCCACCAAAATCCATGCGTGCTGGTTAGACGTAGCCGGATGGATCTTGCCGATGATCTCCACGGCCCACCCTCTGAACGGCCACAGTTTAGTAACCGGGTGGAGAGCTTCGGCCGGTACCCTTTGTATGGGGCCGTAGATTTGACACTTGATGCACCCCCTCGCATACTCTATGCAGTCTTTTAAAACGGTTGGCCAGTAATAGCCGTGCCTCCGAACCAACCATCTCATCGTGGGATTCGGTCATGATGACCTTGATGTCTTCGACGCTGGGACATAGGAGCAACAAGCCGTCTGATCCCATTCGATATATCTCGTTCTGGTAAATTAAATAACACCGAGCTCGGAAGCGTGTAGTCCTCTCATGGCTCCCGGAGGGGTCGCGCAAATACCTTACCACAGGGTAGCGCCAATCGGCCTCGGCCGTGTTGATTTCGTTGGTGATCTCATGGCTGCATGATGACCTTGGTGAGTTTGGCCGCAGGGACTCCTCCGCCCAATGTTCTAGCAGTCTTTCCAGCAGGTCGGTCACGGCCGCCGCTCCTTCTTCTTTAGTGGCTTTGTCTGTCATCTAAAGGCTGGTGAGGTCGATCAATACTTCGCGCGCTGAATCCTGTCGGACATTCTCGGCGCCTAACTCCAGTACTTTTTGGGCTGTTGTCTTGGTTGGTCGGCCGCTTGCATCGTGGCCGGTGAGGACAACCCATCCAACGTCGTCGTCGTAAATCCGCGCTTGCACGGCGTTGTCTCGAAGGGTTTTTCATCGGCCGGGTGTATGGACACCCTCTGGCCGTCCCAAAAGAAAAGTAGTTGGAAGAGGGAGGACGGTATGCATCCGGATTGGTGGATCCAGTCATGACCGAGCAATGTATTGTAGTCCACATTGGATTCGACTACTTAGAAGGCTGCGACCCTCGTCTGGTCGGCCACGCTGATTTTTAACTGCAACACCCCGATGGTTTTAGATTTATCACCGACGAAACTGCTCATGACCACGTCGTTGGGGATGAGGTCCTCCCTTGATTTGTCCAGCTTCCTCATCAGGGAATAGGGAAGGATATTGACCGTGGCCCCACAGTCGACGAAGACCTTGGACACGGGCACACCCTCTACGTGAGCCGAAATATACAATGGCTTCAGATGTCGATATTTGTTCAGCTCGTCCCTGGGTATTACCTCGTTAAAAGCTACAGCCATCAATTCTTCCTTTGTCTTCGGCCTCTGATCTAGCTGCTCCTCGGCCACGTCATTATCCAAGCCGTTAGTCTGCCCCCTTGGGGCTGAGAACTCAGGCGGTAGTACCAGGACCATGTTCACGCTGGCCTCCCTCGGCTCCTGCTGGTCTTCCTTACCAGCTTCCTCCTCGGCCTCATAGCCGTTCCCGGCGAGAGTTTTCTCCTCAACCATCCCGAGGATCCCGTCGTATTCTTCATCGGATATCCCCAAGGTGGGGTCGTCTTCGGCCTCATGCCCGAAGAAAGGGTCGTCGGGGCCCTCGATCACAGGCCTCGCAGTCCCGAGGATGTCGTCTGCGGATGCTTCGATCTTGCGGGGGTCCGGGCTCTCGACCTTCTCCTCGAGGGCTCGTCTAGCCTTGGCCAACGTATCCCTAGCCATTAAGTAGTCGTTCAGACGGCCAACCCGGGCCCTTTCCTCGGTCGTCAGACCAAAGATAGTGTCAGCCGGAGTCACGATGAAATACTGGCGGAGATACTCCAAGTCGCCCTTGCTGAAGGGGGCTTTAGCCTCCAATCCTGCTAGGTCGGGCTGGTATCCTAGCATCCCTCTCGCTCTGGCTTCTCTGTTCGCCTGGTATACAACCTTAATGGCGGAGTCGGATCCGTTGGTAATGAGGAGTCCCTCCGCCTTCGCGTTTTTGAGGGCCAACTCCACGATTTCACGGTTCTCAGGGGTCATGCCGTACAGGTCGGTGGCCGAATAGTCTTTATGGAATTCCATGAGAAAGGACAAACCGTTGGCCGAGAAAGGGGGATCTCTTCTGTGGTAGACGTCGATGATGCCCTCGTCTGATTTCTCCCGAGGCACGGCCTTTGGCT